TCATTGTCCTGGATCGGGAGCTCCTGCTTTCCGTGGATTTATAACCGTGACGAGCTCCCTTCTTCTCTGGACGGGGGGATTTCTGACCCCCAGGAGCTCCCACTTTCTATGGATAGGAATTCCCAACCCCAGAAAGCTCCTGGTTTCTCTGGACAGGGATTTCTGACCCCAGGAAGCTCCCGTTTTCCATGGATAGGGATTTCTGGCCTCAAGGACCTCCCACTTCCCCTGGATCGGGATTTCTGACCCTGGGAGGCTCCTGCTTTCCCCAGACATGGATTTCCAACCCCAGGAGGTTCCTGGTTTCTCTGCATAAGGATCTCTGGCCCCGAGCAGCTCCTGCTTTCTCATGGATTTCTGAGCTGGGAAGCTCTGACTTTCCCTGGATATGGATCTCTGACCTGGAGAAGCTCCTGTTTTCTCATGGATTTCCAACCCCAGGAAGTTCCTGATTTTTCTGGATGAGTATTTCTTGCCCTGGGATGCTCCTGTGTTCCCTGGACAGGGATTGCTGACCCCAAAGAGCTCCCACTTTTCATGGATAGGGATTTCTGACCCTGGGAACTTCCTGCTTTCTCAGGGATTTCTGACCTGGGAAGCTCCCACTTTTCCTGGATAGGGATTCCCTACCCCAAGGAGCTCCTGCTTTCTCTGGACAGGGATTTCTGACCCCCAGGAGCTCCCACTTGCCCTGGAAGGGGATTTCCAGCCCTGGCTCTCCGAAGGATCCCGTGAAGCCTATGATTTAGACCCCTGGAAGTGCCCAGGGCCGTGGTTTGGGAGCTGCAGCTCCCCTGGATGGGGAAGGAGGTTCCCAGGAGCTCAGCTGAGGGAGACCCGGATCCTGCTCCAGCAGCTGCTCCAGGGGCTCTGCCCTGAGGCAGCACCAGAGCCTTGGAAAAGGGACCAGCACCAGGCTCTGCCCATCCCCTCCCAAAAACATCCCTCCTGGGGGCTCCTCGGGGCTCAGGCTCATCCCAAAGGAGGCTCCCGCCCCTCCCCCAGGGAAGCTGCTCCACACCCCCCTCCCCTTGTGCCAAGAATGGATTTATATCCCTCCCGCCCCTCCCCCAGGGAAGCTGCTCCACACCCCCCTCCCCTTGTGCCAAGAATGGATTTATATCCCAGAGGAATTAGGATGAGGCTTCAGAGCCACGGCCTGCAGTGCTGGATGAGCTCAAGAGCTGGGGAGGGAATTCCCTCAGGGGGAGTTTGGGAGGAGCTGCCCTTCCCAGGGGTTGATGCCCGGGGGGGTCTGGGCCCCCCCTGAGCACCCCCAGAACTGCTGGAGCAGGAAGGACCCTCCTGCCAGCACGGGAATGTGGGAATGAGGGCTCAGCTTCCATCGTGGAGCCAGGGCAGCTCCTGCCCGGAGGAATTTCGGGATCACAGCCTGGTGCACTTCACCTGGAGTGAAGGAATCCTCTTTAAGGGAATGGGGGAAGGCGGGTGCAGCTCCCAGCCCGGGCTGGCTGCTGGCAGGGGATCCCTAAAAACCCTACTGGAACGAGCACACCCCATTTTCCCGGGATTTTCCCAGGATTTTCCCACTAGCAGGGCTGAAGCACACACAGGGATGGGCCTCTGGAGCAGGGGGAGGCTGGAATCCAGGACAGGCCCAAAGGGCCACACGTCCCAGGAAGCAAAAAACCGCCAAAAAAAGGTGATGGGACGATACAAAGTGTTAAAAAATAATAAAGGAGGAAAAGAACAGGTACTTGAAGCTGGAGCAGATCCCGGCGCCGAGTCCAGCCGGGCTGTCCCCCCTCTATCCCCTGGCATTCCCTGGAGCAGGGATTCAGTCTCTCTCCAGGCCTGGCCTGTCAGTACTTCACACCCGGCACAAACTCCTTGGCATCTGGATTCAAGTTGCTTTTGCTCTGGAAGAGAAGAGGGAACAGGGATCCATCAGTGCCCCGAGGCCGGGATTCCCCAGGGAGCTGCATTCCAGGGAGCTGCATTCCAGGGACCTGCACCCCAAATCCATGCACCCCAAATCCCTGCACCCCAAACCCCTGCACCCCAAGGATGTACCTGCACCCCAAACCCCTGCACCCCAAACCCCTACACCCCAAATCCTTGCACCCCAAGGATGGACCTGCAACCCAAACCCCTGCACTCTAAGGATGGACCTGCACCCCAAACCCCTACACCCCAAACCCCTGCACCCCAAACCCCTGCACCCCAAACCCCTGCACCCCAAATCCCTACACCCCAAATCCCTGCACCCCAAGGATGGACCTGCACCCCAAATCCCTGCACTCTAAGGATGGACCTGCACCCCAAACCCCTGCACCCCAAATCCCCACACCCCAAGGATGGACCTGCACCCCAAACCCCTGCACCCCAAATCCCTGCACCCCAAGGATGGACCTGCACCCCAAACCCCCACACCCCAAACCCCCGCACCCCGAGGATCCCTGGTGGCCCCACAGGCCCAGGATGAGCCGGACCATCCCCCAGCTCCAAGGTGTCTGCTCCCAGGCTGGGTTTTGGGGGAACACAGGGACAATCCGTGGGTTCAGTCTCCCTGTTTGTGCCGTGCATGTGGGAAAGCAGCAGCCCCATCCCGGGGAGCGACTCCACGGAACCACGGGATGGCTGGGGCTGGAAGGGACCTCAGAGCCCACCCAGTCCCAGCCCTGGGACACTTCCCACTGTCCCAGGTGGCTCCAAGCCCCCCCCAGCCTGGCCCTGGATGACCCAGGGGCACATCCCCTCACCAGAATGTCCTCGGAGCCGTGGCCGTCCCCCACCGAGAGCCCGTGGAGCTGCTGCTGCAGCTGCCCCACGCCCTGGGGCAGGTCCCGGGACGGGATGAACCAGTCCTGGTCCTCCTCCTCCAGCATCTCCTGGAAGCAGCGGTCGAGGAATTCCTGCTCCTGCAGCTCCTCCTCCACCTGCCCGGAGAGATTCCTTAGTCCCAGGGGGTGGAAGGGACATCCCGGGGGAAAGGACATCCCAGGGGGTGGAAAGGACATCCCGGGGGGAAAGGACATCCCGGGGTTTTTCCTGGGTTTTTCCATAGGCTGGGCCCACCTGGGGAGGGTCTGCAGTGTCTGCCAGGCTCCGGCACAGCTCATGGGATCATGGAATCACTTCGGATGGAAAAGCCCTCGGAGAGCACGGAGCTCCCCCAGCACTGCAGGGACACCCCCGGCCATGGCCCCGAGTGCCACATCCCCCCTCCCTGGGCAGCTGTGCCAGGGCTGCACAGCCCTTTCCAGGAGGAATTTCCCCAGTATCCAACCTGAGCCTCCCCTGGCTCAGCTGGAGCCGTTCCCTCTCCTCCTGTCCCTTGTTCCCTGGGAACAGAGCCCGACCCCCCCCAGCTCCACCCTCCTTCCATTTAGGGATTTTAGGGATCCAGAAGGTCCCCCCTAAGCCTCCTTTTCTCCAGGATTTCTCCCTTTCCTTGCTCCAAACTGGATGGCTGATGCCATCCCAGCTGGATTACTGGGCAGATCCTCTCTGCTCTGGAGCAATCCCAGAGCTCTCCCAGCCTTTCCTGCTCCCTGCAGCTTTGTCACACCTGCAGGTGGTGACAGAGGGTGGCACTTGGCTCCCACGAGGGCTCCAGGGATGACACCGCAGGAAACCTCCTCCTGAGGATCAGGAAAGCCCCTGGAGCTCCTGGAGGAGCAGGGGTGTGGGAGCAGAGGGAGCAGAGGGAGGCAGGAGAGGGGCAGGATGGGGCTGGGGGTCCGTCCTTCCTGAACCATCAGCGGGTCACACAGACCAGCCAATCCCATCTCCCAGGCTGGTTTTCTCTGGATTCTCATGGAGTCCAAGAGGGCTGAGTGAATCCATGATCCACAAAGTGCTCTGGAAAGCTCAAACCCTTCCATGTTCCAGGGCAGCAGGGCAGGGGGGGATTGTGCCCCTCTGCCCCTGTCTGAGGGGAGACCCCCCTGCAGAGCTGCTCCAGCCCTGGGAACAACAGCACAGGGACGTGGAGCTGCTGGAGAGAGTCCAGAGGAGGCCCCGGAGCTGCTGCCAGGGCTGGAGCCCCTCTGCTCTGGAGCCAGGCTGGGAGAGCTGGGGGGGTTCCCCTGGAGAAGAGAAGGCTCCAGGGAGAGCTGAGAGCCCCTGGCAGGGCCTGAAGGGGCTCCAGGAGAGCTGGAGAGGGACTGGGGACAAGGCAGGGAGGGACAGGCCAAGGAGGGGTGGTTTCCCCTTGGAAAAGTGGAGATTCAGATGGAATATTGGGAAGGAATTCCTGAAACTCCTCCCTGGCAGGAGCAGGTGCCATGAGGACACTGAACAGTGAGGAGCCCAGCAGTGCTGGCTCATCCCACAGGGACAAGGCCAGCGCCTGGCCCGGGATCTGCCCTTCCACGGCACAGACAGAGCCAGCCCAGGGCCGGGTGCCTCTCCCAGCCCTGCAGTCCAGGTGGATATTCCCTGTGCTCCCACCTGCCTCTGACACCTCTGCCTGCCCCAGCTCCCTGCTGTCAGCAGCTCCTGCTCCCACCCCTCCCTGTCTGCCCTCAGGACGCGGTTCCATGGGAAAGGAATGTCGGTGGCACAGGTTCGGGAGGAACGTGCCAGGCTGGGGGAGCACCTGGAGCTGCTGCCTGTGCCCTGCCTGGGGCCTGCACGGCCCAAAGCCCTGGGAGGAGGCAGGGAAGCCACGTGGCTCCAGAGAGCTCAGGGAGAGGGGAGAGCAAGGGATCCAGAGGGAGATCCAGCCCCAGATCCCAATCCCAGAGCAGCCCCAGAGCACTGGAATGTGAGGGTGGCAGAAGCACCATCACCACTGGCAGAGAGAGTTTCTCTGAGGACACCAGGAATGCTGATGGAATCTTCCTCTGGAGAGCAGGGGGTGGGAATTCCCTCTGCCCAGCCTGCCCACAGCTCCAGAGGGTCCTTCCCGGACACCCCGGGGGTGGGAATCGCGCTGGGCCACAGTCACAGGGACATTCCAGGGAGGGGACAAGTGTCCAGGAGCTCAGCTGGAGGGACAAGCTCCCTCCTCTCCCAGTCCAAGGTGTCCAAGTTCTCTCCAGCTGCTGGGATGGTGGCAGGAGAATCCCAGGAGCCTCCAGAGAGCCCTTCCCGCTGCCTCGGGCTGCCCTGGGATTCGGATGAGGACGAGGAGGACACTCTGGAGCTGCTCCCAGGTCGTTATTCCACAACCAAGAGCTGTTTGAGTCCTCCAGGAGCTCTCAGGAGCTTCGCTGTCCCTTATGGACACAACATCCCAAGGCTCCAGCTCCGGCTGCTCCAAGTGCCTCCGGGATGATTTCACTGAAATAAAGAGATTTCTCCCCAAACCGAGGCTGCAGGATCTCCCCGCTGGGATAACCAGGATGGGAACATTCCAAGGGCTCAGCAGGATGCTGGTCCTGTGCCTCCAGCTGAGCACGTGGCCAGGGAAGGCCTGGATCCCAAAAGCTTGGGAGCAGTGATGTCCCCAAGGGGATCAAAGGCACCGTGAGGGCTCCTTCCCAGCTCCATCCATCCCACGTCCTTCCAGGCAGGTCCAACACAAACAGGATGACTCTTCCCTGAGCCACCCTTCCCGGGCAGGGCTGGGACTGCCACAGGGCCACCAAAGGGCAGACACTCCATGTTCCCTGTGGATACACAGGGCTGGGAACTCCCCCACGTCTCACCTGCCTGGTGAAACCTTCCTCGTCCTCCATCCCCACATCCCTGTGTGTCCCTGGGGCTGGGAGTCTCACCTGCCTGTTGAAGTCCTCCATCCCCACATCCCTGTGTGTCCCTGGGGCTGGGAGTCTCACCTGCCTGTTGAAGTCCTCCATCCCCACATCCCTGTGTGTCCCTGGGGCTGGGAGTCTCACCTGCCTGTTGAAACCTTCCTCGTCCTCCATCCCCACATCCCTGTGTGTCCCTGGGGCTGGGAGTCTCACCTGCCTGTTGAAGTCCTCCATCCCCACATCCCTGTGTGTCCCTGGGGCTGGGAGTCTCACCTGCCTGTTGAAGTCCTCCTCGTTCTCCATCCACATGTACTCGGCGAAGGGGTTGTTCTCCTTCTCATCGTGCCCGTTCACCACCGGATCCTCCTTGGATTTGGGACTGGATGCCGTGGTGCTGGCGAGCTCGGAGCCATTCATCCTTACGGACTCTGGGGGGGGAAATGTGGGAATGAGGGAGCTGCTGAGGCCCCGTGTCCCCAGATCCACCCCAGCTCCCACAGGGACGCTGCCACCGCCTTCCAGCACAGGAGTGCTTGGGCTGGATGATCCTGGAGGTCTTTTCCAACCCTGATGATTCCATAACTTCAGCAATTTCAGATCCTGCTGCTTCCAGGCTGTCCCAGCAGGGTGCAGTTCCCAGCTCCTCCTCTCTCCCTGGCAGCAGCACCACACCCCCCTGGCAGCAGCATTTGGGGGGGATTTATTTTTTTTCAGCATTTATTTTTCGGGATTTTGAGCCACCAGGGACAGTTTGAATGTATTTGTCTGGGCTTAGACCAAGAGTTGATCCCACCAGGAGCTCCTGGAGATGCTGGGAACAAGGTCTGGGAAGGCACCGGCTCCCCAAATCCCATCCCTCCATCCCTCCAGCTATCCATCCATCCATCCATCCATCCCTCCATCCATCCATCCATCCATCCCTCCATCCCTCCATCCATCCATCCATCCATCCATCCCTCCATCCATCCATCCATCCCTCCATCCATCCATCCCTCCATCCATCCATCCCTCCATCCATCCATCCATCCATCCATCCCTCCATCCTTCCACCCATCCATCCATCCATCCATCCATCCATCCCTCCATCCTTCCACCCATCCATCCATCCATCCATCCATCCATCCCTCCATCCACCCATCCATCCATCCATCCATCCATCCATCCCTCCACCCATGAATCCATCCCTCCATCCCTCCATCCATCCATCCATCCATCCATCCATCCATCCCTCCATCCATGAATCCATCCATCCCTCCATCCATCCATCCATCCATCCATCCATCCATCCATCCATCCCTCCACCCATCCATCCCTCCATCCATCCACCCATCCATCCATCCCTCCATCCACCCATCCATCCATCCATCCCTTCATCCATCCATCCATCCCTCCACCCATCCATCCATCCCTCCATCCACCCATCCATCCATCCAGCCACCCTCCATCCATCATCCCTCCATCCATCCATCCACCCATCCATCCACCCATCCATCCATCCATCCATCCATCCATCCATCCATCCACCCATCCATCCCTCCATCCACCCATCCATCCATCCCTCCATCCACCCATCCCTCCATCCATCCATCCATCCCTCCATCCATCCATCCACCCATCCATCCATCCATCCCTCCATCCATCCATCCATCCACCCATCCATCCCTCCATCCACCCATCCCTCCATCCATCCACCCATCCATCCCTCCATCCCTCCATCCATCCACCCATCCATCCATCCATCCACCCATCCATCCATCCATCCATCCATCCATCCACCCATCCATCCATCCCTCCATCCCTCCATCCCTGGTCTGGGAGCAGGGCCAGGGAAGGACTCTCCCGTCTCGTTCCCCTCCCAGGTTTTTATGGCAGCACCAGGAAGCTCATCCCAGTTCCTGGGGGTTTTCCAGGTGAACAGGGAGCAGCCAAGGGGTCCAAAGCCCCATTCCCAGCAGACCCAGGGAGCCCCAGATCCCTCCTGGAAGCTGCTTCCCTGTGGATATCAGACCCAGTCCCTACCACACTATTCCCACCTCTCGGATTTGAGCCATCCCAAAGCTTCCCAGGCCATCCCCCACCTGCTGGAGCCAGAGCTTTCCAAGTGGGAACGAGGATGCTGGGAGATGCCAGCACGGATCCTGGGGGTCCCATTCCCAGGGGAATATCCCAGTGCTGTGCCGGGAGAAGCAGCGGGAAGGGGAGGCCCCTGATCCCCCTGCCCGGGCATCCCCCGGGAACATCCTGGGGGAAAGCACTCCCTGAACAAGAAAACTGGCCCCCAGATTTTCCAGGCTGGGCAGCCTGGTGGCAGCACAGGAGGGACGGGTGGGATGTGCCAACGGACCCAAACACGGAATCAAATCCCACCAAAGTGGGTTTCATCCCCACTTTTCCCAGCCGGGTCTCCAGGACGCAAAGTCTTGGTTTTCCCCTCTCAGCCAGAGCAGCCCTGGCCACGCAGAGCATTCCTGCCTGGAAAAGCACCTTCCCAGGGAGCGTTTTCCAGGCTCAGTGTCTGTCCTGGGCTCTGTGTTCCCTCTGTGAGTCACCAGAGCTGGACCTGCCAGGCTGGGGATGCTCCAAGGGCTCCCAGGGCTCCGGGAACTGGGGATACGTGACTCCACTCAAAAGCAAATAAATTCAAAACCTGGCTCTTTTATAACGAAGGTTTCTTGGATTTGTTTCTGTTTTCCTATGGAAAATTAAACAGATCAAAAAAAAAAAAAAAAAAAAAAAAAGAGCAGGACTGGTGGAGCTCAGAAAGCACAGCCAGAGCACACCGAGCACCTGGGCCTGCTCCAGAGCACGGAAAATCTCCTTCTTCCCCGACAGGACGGCCTCTGCCACAGAGCGTAGGTCATGAGATTATATGCCGCTGGGAGGTCAAGTGTACCCCTTGCGTTCTCCCATCAATTCCACAACGAGTGCCTCTGTCTTGTTAAATACTAACGATGCCGCTGCTCTTGATGTCCGCCTGTGGAAAATGGAAAAGGGACTGGACACCACGGGCTGGGAACAGAGCTCTGGGGCAGCTTTGGGTGCTGCTTTAGGGTCAGATGGTTCCCAGGATGGATTTCATGGCATCTGATCCCAGCCGGGCCTTCCTGGCGGTCCCGGCTCCTGGGAACAGTGACCGAGAGATCTGGGGGGAAACCCAGCACGTGGGAAGATCCCAAAGCAATTCCAGCATCCCAGAGCCCACGGCACCGGCACTGGGTGCAGGAAGGGCAGGGACTTGGTGATCCCACTCCGTGGGAGGTGGGGAAGGATTCCTGAGAGCAGCACCCAGGCCTGGGGTCAAGGAACCATGGAATGGTTTGGGTTGGAAAAGACCTGAAATCCCACCCAGAGCCCCCCCTGTCCATGGGTAGGGAAACCTTCCCCCAGCTCAGGTTGCTCCAACCTGGCCTTGGACACTTCCAGGGATCCAGGGGCAGCCACAGCTTCTCTGGGCAACCTGGGCCAGGGCCTGCCCACCCTCCCAGCCAGGAATTCCTGCCCAATAACCCACCTAACCCTGCCCTCTGGCAGGGAGGAGAAGGAACACAGGAGAAGAGAATACAGGGGAAGGGAACACAGGGGAAGGGAATACAGGAGAAGGGAATACAGGAGAAGAGAACACAGGGGAAGGGAACACATGAGAAGGGAACCCAGGAGAAGGGAACCCAGGAGAAGGAGCCCAGGAGAAGGAGCCCAGGAGAAGGGAATACAGGAGAAGGGAACCCAGGAGAAGGGAATACAGGAGAAGGGAACCCAGGAGAAGGGAACCCAGGAGAAGCCCAGCTGTGTCCTGGCTCAGGGCAGCACAGATGGTCCCCCTCTCCCTCCCAGGCCGAGGCCGCGATCCCGAGGCAGCGTTCCCGGGTTTGTGCCGGAGAGCCCGGCGGGCCAGGGCTCCCAGGGCTATAAATAGCTTTGGGAATCATTGTGTTTGCAGACAGGCTCGTGGCTCAGCAGGAAAACCCACCCGGGCGACCCAGGCCTGGGGAAAAGCCCACGCCGAGCCCTCCTCCGAGTTTTCCGCGGCTCCCCCTTCCCGACTGCCCTCCAAGGGCTCCGGAGCGAGGGGGGGCAGAGCTGGGGCTGCCCCTCCGAGCTCCTGCACTGCGGGATCGACAGCACCCGGCCTCCAACCCGGAGAGAGCCACAAAGGGAACCCCTTTCTCAGGCCACCCCTGAACTCCCCCGCAGCAGCAATTAGGGAAAAGCACCTCGTCAGCCTCCTCTCCCAAGGGATGGATTCTCCCGTTCCAGCTCTGCTCCACAGGTCCGGCTGGTCCAGCCACTCTCCCAGCGCTCCTTCCCTGACTCCCTGTCCCTCCCACGCCCTGGCATCCCGATCCAATCTCCCTTCTCCAATCTCCCTTCCTAGATAAAGTCTCTGCGCTCCAGAGGCCCAAACTGCACCTCTCATCCCGCTTTATCTCCCGGCCCTGTGGATTTTTCCACCGGCTGGGAGCGCTCCCAGCTGCCCCACACTGCCCTGGGACATTCCCTGCCCCCTGCCCTGGGACATTCCCTGCTCCCGNACATTCCCTGCCCCACACTGCCCTGGGACATTCCCTGCTCCCTGCCCTGAGGACCTTCCCTGACACCCTGCCACCTGAGACATTCAATGCTCCCAGACCTGGACCTTCCCGCCACCAATGCCCTTGTACATTCCTCTTCCCCCTGCCCTTAGACATCCCATGCTCCAGCCCTGGGCACATTCCATTGCCACAACACTGCCCTGGGAAATTCCCTGCCCCTGCCCCCTGGGACATTCCCTGATCCCACACTGCCCTGGGACATTCCCTGCCCCACACTGCCCTGGGACATTCCCTGCCCCACACTGCCCTGGGACATTCCCTGCTCCCAGCCCTGGGACATTCCCTGTTCCCAGCCGGATCCCTCCCGGAACAGCCTCCCTGGTCCTGGCTCTTCCCGCAGGCCGCAGCCCCGGCCCACACTCCACCACTGCCCCCCTGACTCCTCCAAGTACATTTCTTCCCCCTCCAGGCTTCTCCTTCCCATTCCACAGGTTTATTCCCGAGGTTTCATTCCCTGCTCCAGAGCCGAGCTGGGGAGTCCCCCCCTGCCCCCCCCCGAGCAGGGACCGCCGAGTGTCCCGGGATCCTCCGGACGCTCCCGGTGTTCCCTGGCCGGGCTGGGCCGGGCCCTGCCCGCGGCTGTGGAGTCTCCATTCCCAGCTCTCCCAGTTGCCGAGGAACCGCGGCCTACTTCCCTCCCAGCCGGGGGATAATCTCCTCCCGCACTATTTTAATCCACGGCCGCCACAACAACCCCGGCCCTGCTCCGGCTCCGAGCCTCCCCGGAACAGCCGGCGCTGCTCCTGAGCCCAGGCCAAGGAATGCTCAGGAGCCTCATTCCAAATTCAGCCCAAACAGCTCCTCCTCGAGCTGCTTCCAGGATCAGCCACGTCCTGCTCCCGACAGCTCACGGATCCTGCAGCCCTCCAGGATCCACAGCTTCTCCAGGAAACCTGGGCCAGGGCCTGCCCACCCTCCCAGCCAGCAATTCCTCCCCAATACCCCATTTGAATCTCCCCTTTTCCAGTGGGAAGCCATTCCCTGTGTGCTGTCCCTCCAGGCCTTGTCCCCAGTCCCTCTCCAGCTCTCCTGGAGCCCCTTCAGGCCCTGCCAGGGGCTCTCAGCTCTCCCTGGAGCCTTCTCTTCTCCAGGGGAACCCCCCCAGCTCTCCCAGCCTGGCTCCAGAGCAGAGGGGCTCCAGCCCTGGCAGCAGCTCCGGGGCCTCCTCTGGACTCTCTCCAGCAGCTCCCCAGCACAGAAAGGGTTAACCAGAGGACTTTCTTCCCAGTATCCCATCTAACCCTGTCCTCTGCCAGTGGGAAGCTGTTCTCCCTGGTCCTGGCACTCCAGACCCTTGGAAAAGCCCCTCTCTAGGAGAGAGCTGGACATTTTAAGGGACTGGGGCCAGGAGATGCCCTTCCCCCAGGGCAGGGCCAGCATTCCCTGCCTGGCTGCGGGCAGGGAGACAGAAACAGCCAGCAGTGGAATTCCAGGGCTGCACAGTGATCCCTGTGCCAGTGGTGCAATCCCAGTAATCCCTGTGCCAGTGGTGCAATCCCAGTGATCCCTGTGCCAGGGCTCTGGATCCATGGGAGCAGCTTTATCTCTGTGCCGGAGGCCCCGCTGGGACACAGGGACACACCTTCCCAGGGCTGGACACACATTCCCAGGGCTGGACACACCTTCCCAGGGCTGGACACACATTCCCAGGGCTGTACACACCTTCCCGGGGCTGGACACACATTCCCGGGGCTGGACACACATTCCCGGGGCTGGACACACATTCCTGGTCCTGGACACACATTCCTGGTCCTGGACACCTGCATTCCCTGGGAGAAGGGACGGGAAGCCAAGCATGGAGAGGTCACTGGGTGGATCTGATGCTGTCGGAGGTCCTTTCCCACCTGAACAATTCCACGATTCCCTGATCTGCCCCCGGGTTTGGCAGCTCAGCCGTGGCTGTGCCAGGGGGTCACCGACCCCGAATCCCACGGGAATGGGCCCTGTCCCCATGGGAGAGGCCAGGACAGGGCACCGGCTGGAGCCACCCGTCAGCTCCGGGATTTGGGTGCTGACAGCCCCATCCTGCAGGGAATGCTGACAGCCCCGTCCTGCAGGGAATGCTGACAGCCCCATCCTGCAGGGAATGCTGACAGCCCCGTCCTGTTTGGAATTATCACGGGAGGAGCGATGACAGCCACGTTTCCCGGCGGGAATGGGTGACCCGGGATGAGTCCCGAGGGTCTGGGACCATCATCCCAAGGGAAAACAAACAGCTGCTGCATGGACAGGGCCAGTCCTGCTCCTCCCCCAGCTGCTCCTTCCCCAGCCCCAGGGCAGGGAGTGACAGGACAAGGGGCTTTGCGGCAGAGAGGAGGGTTGGAGGGGATACTGGGGAGAAATTTCGGGATGGTTAAACCTCCCTGAGCTCTGGAGGTGCTGGAGAGAGTCCAGAGGAGGCCCCGGAGCTGCTGCCAGGGCTGGAGCCCCTCTGCTCTGGAGCCAGGCTGGGAGAGCTGGGGGGGTTCCCCTGGAGAAGAGAAGGCTCCAGGGAGAGCTGAGCGCCCCTGGCAGGGCCTGAAGGGGCTCCAGGAGAGCTGGAGAGGGACTGGGGACAAGGCAGGGAGGGACAGCACACAGGGAATGGCTTCCCACTGGAGAAGGGGAGATTTGAATGGGATATTGGCAAGGAAGTCTTTCCTTTGATGGTGGCAAGGGACTGGAATGAATTTCCCAGAGAAGCTGTGGCTGCCCCATCCTTGGAAGTGTCCAAGGCCAGGTTGGAGAAACCTGGAATAGTGGAAGGTGTCCCTGCCCATGGCAGGACATGATGGGACTTGCTGGGATATAAATCCCCTTCCCACCCAAACTATTCCATGATTCTGTGGAACACCTGGAATTTCCACAGCTCCCTCTCTCAGACCTTGCATGTCCCCCTGCCCTGGGCTGGGCTTTGTCCCTGTCCCAGTCCTGCAGGGACACTTGTGGATCTCACACACACCCCCTGGCTCTCCCTTTCCCAGCCTGGAAAAGTGCCATTCCCTCAATCCCGAGGGAAAACCCGCCGGATCCCTCGCACAGGGGCAGCACTGGGGGGGGTTCGGGACAATGTTCCAATGCACAATTTTATCCGGAGTTGCTGAGCCCCAAACACAGCCCTGAGGTTCCCTCAGCCTTCCCTGCAGCTCCCACAGCCCGGGATCCCAGGGGGACCTGGATCCAGAGGGACGTGGATCCCAGGGGGATGTGGATCCCAGGGGGATGTGGATCCAGAGGGACATGGATCCAGAGGGACGTGGATCCAGAGGGATGTGGATCCCAGGGAGATGTGGATCCCAGGGGGATGTGAATCCAGAGGGATGTGGATCCCAGGGGGATGTGGATCCAGAGGGATGTGGATCCCAGGGGGATGTGGATCCCAGGGGGATGTGGATCCAGAGGGACATGGATCCCAGGGGGATGTGGATCCAGAGGGACATGGATCCCAGGGGGATGTGGATCCAGAGGGACATGGATCCCAGGGGGATGTGGATCCAGAGGGACATGGATCCAGAGGGACATGGATCCCAGGGATGTGGATCCCAGGGGGATGTGGATCCAGAGGGACATGGATCCAGAGGGATGTGGATCCCAGGGGGATGTGGATCCAGAGGGACATGGATCCCAGGGGGATGTGGATCCTAGAGGGATGTGGATCCAGAGGGACATGGATCCCAGGGGGACATGGATCGCAGGGGGATGTGGATCCCACAGGGATGTGGATCCCAAGCAGCTGCTCCCAAAGGGCCGGAGCCGTGTCTGTCCCATCCCACCCAGGTTTCCCCTCTGGCTCCTGCAGGGATTCCCACCCTGTCCCGGCACGTGGGGCTGGAACCCGAGAGCCAGCAGGGAAAACATGTCCCGGGCAGAGCTGGGCCAGGCTGAGCCCCGGAACGTGTCCCAGAGCCCCCAAATCCCGGCTGCCAGGGACGGCCACCCCCTGTGCCCCCAGATCCCTCCACGGGCCGGGAACATCTGGAGAGCGTGGGAGCTCTGCCCGCCCCGTGGGAAGGGGGATCCCGGCCTGGGAACGGGGATCCCGGCCTGGGAACGGGGATGGTGCCGCGGGAGGGCTGGGAGCAGGGACAGGGGGAGCGGCCGATGTCCCCCCGCCCCACGGGTCCTGTCCCCGCTCCGGGGGTCACCGGGGACGGGGCTCGGCCCCCTCGCCCGGTCCGTACAGAGGGGAGGGGGGGATGTCTGGGGAGCCCGGGGAGGGTTTTGGGAGCCGGAGGAATGTTCTGGGAGCGCCGGGGCTGCTCTGGGGCTGCGGCTCCCGAGGGGCGGCCGGGAGGGCACGAGGGGCAGGGAACGCTCCGCTCCCGCCCGGGATCCAGCTGAGCTGGGCCGGGCCTGCGCCCCCCGGAGAGCCCCCGGTCCCTGGGGCCGTGTCCCCCCGGTCCCTCTGTCCCTGTCCCCCCCCGTGTCCCCCCCGGTCCCTCGGCCCGTGTCCCCCCCAGTTTCCCCGCCGGTCCCTGTGTCCGTGTCACCCCCCTGTGTCCCCCCTTGGCCTCTATGTCCGTGTCACCCCGGTCCCTGTGTCCGTGTCCCCCCATGTGCCCCCCCCCGTGTCCCCCCCGTGTTTCCCCCGTTACCTCGGCCCGGCCGGTCCCGCTCCGCGCCCTCCGCCGCCGCCGCCGCCGCCAGGCCCCGCCCCTCCCGCCGGGGACACGCCCCCCACCCCCATTGGCCGGACCCGCCGCCAGGCCCCGCCCCCCCGCGCCGTGGTTGGGCGGGAGGGGGACTGAGCGCATCGCTATTGGTCCACTACGCTGTCAATCGCGCGCTTAGCCCCGCCCGCCGAGCCGCGCTCCGGATTGGCTGACCCCGGTGGCTCTGATTGGCCGTTCGCACGCGTCCCCCACGTGGGTCAGACGGGCAGGGCGCGGGGGCGGGGCCGGGCGGCGGGGGCGGAGCCAGACGCG